AGGGGTTCCGGCGACTGGCTACGGCCGCGAGAAGGTCACGGGGAGCGGTCACCGCACCGGCCGCGGGCGCATCACGCGGGGAGCTAGAAAATAGGGATTGTGCGAACTCCCCAAAGGTGGGCGTGGCCGGAGGAGGAGATGGGGGACGGTGGTCGAGGATGCCCGCGGCCGCAACTTTAGACGACGGGAGAAGGGGGGTCAACGGAACAACCGGGTTGGAGTTGGTCGCCATTATGGCGCCCGGAGCGTCGGCAAGTGGAACGGACGGCGGCGGGGGCGTGTTGTCGGCAGCGGCGGAAGAGGTGATGGAGGGGGCGGCCGAAGACAAGGAGAGAGTAGTTTCGAGGCTGGGGTGATTGGAATTCATGAGGATCTGTATGAGGGCAATTGCGAGAAGGGTGGGGTTTGTTGCGACAGAGAGGGGATAGGAACGATCATTGACCGAGAAAAGAGAGGGTGATATTTAAAGCTTCCGGAACCCAGGGTTTCCAAGATCAATGTGGGCTTAGGGTTTAAGGGATTGAGTTCGACTTCTTTTAATCACTTATTAGTAATTAATAGAAGTGGGGGATTTATGATGGAATATATCGGATTAGGCCTGGCCCATAGGCCCAAGGGAGGAGCCCAAGAGTAGATGGATGGACTCGCAAGCCGGCCTGCATGCATGAAAGATAGCCGCACGCGGTCCCCACGCAGAGGATGGCTGCATGTAGCCTGCGTGCACAGAGGATAACTGCATGCAAGGCGCGATGGCGGCTACGGCATGCACGGACGTGCGGGGTGGCGGTTACGACATGCATGGACGTGCGGGGTGGTGGTTACGGCATGCATGGGACGTACGTGGGGTGACGGCTACGGTATGCATGGGACGTACGTAGGGTATCGGTCAGCGTGCGCGCATGGGGGCAAGAGGACGATGGCCGCATACGGGGGCGCGGGAGATGCGGGAGGGCGCGTCTAAGGATCGTCGTGGGCACGCGAGGCGGCGGTGGGGAAGGAAAGTGGGCACGTAAGATGCGGCCGGGGAGCGCAATGGGGGTGGCACGTGTGTGGCGCAGAATGTGGGACACCGACCACGTGGCTGGTCCAGAAGGGCGCCTCCATAGTATGTAAAGAGGGGAGGGGGTCGTGATTTAGGGGAGAGAAAGGAGACGGAGGAGACTGGATAGCTGGGTGGTAGAGCCTTTTCCTCTTTACGGGTGGATCCAGAGTTCGACTTCAAGTATCGTTAATTGGCTCGTTTATTTACTATTTAGTAATCTAATTACGTTGTGTATCTCCTGCATTACATTGTTCCAGTCCTAGTGTTGGGCTTGCGCGTACGTTCATTCTTAGTTGGACCGCATGCCCGTTTAGCTGTATACACTATCCCGTTCAATCCATATTGTATACTCGGTTTATGGTGGACCCCGATTTCATTAAAACCATCAATACTCAACAATGCATAATTAATTTCCCATAAATAAGCTGACCAGAAATTCAATAAATAATGATCATCATCCATTTAAATTGAGGCTGAAAACTAGCCCATCATTATTGTGTGGACCATGGTCCATACAAGTTATATGGACCATATTTTGTATACTTTAAAATAATGTACATTCAGTAAAAAAAATAATGTACATTGTATTCAGGGGATGTACATTATTTTTGTATTGAGTGTACATTATATTGTATAATGTACGTACAATACAAAAATAATGTACATTTAGTATATTAAAAATGTACTTTTTGTTATGGTCCACATTACATTGTGTGGACCATGGTCCACACAATAATTTGCCTAAACTAGTTCAACCAAACAAAAATCTGTTAGAGAATAATGCTGAGATACTCTGACACTGATTCAGTCGAATACAGAAAGAAATCCTGAGACTGGAGCGCTGAAAGAGATCCAGACAGGGGTACGGTCCAAAATATTATAACAAGATTATAACCGAAGTTTTGTCAAATAATTTAGCCAATTAAATTAAGGTAAAATGTGTATCATTTGTACACTTACAATTACAAAAATTTAAACTAGAGTATGTAGTACAGAGTAATAATTTGATAAAAGTGGTACAATTAAAACGATTCAACTGCTTCAACTTCACCATCACTATTGTAAGACTATCTAATATACATTCCGCTCAAAACGGATAATGGGCGAATGAGAAATTGATTCTCAAAGTATACTCATTTGAGTTAGAAAAGTTTTAAAGAAGTTTTTGTTCCACATTGATTTGGGAAGTGGGTTTGCACCACTATTTATACAAGAGCCTTTCTAAGGCTTATTGAATTGTATAGCATTGATCGATGCTCTCTCTCCCAAAATGAATTTGAAAATGCTTAACTTGTGTACATTAGCACCTAAATTTTTACAACTTGATTTCCTACGTTTTCCAGCTATCAAAATCTCTGCTCCTACTCCTTTCCAAGGCCGTAACGCTCCTAGCACCTTTACGAGACGGCAAATAAGGTTTTAAAGAAAGAGTGATTCACTCGACTCGTGCTAATCACCTACCCACCATATCTATTCGTCCCTCCATGGTTTTTTCAAAAATAATAATAGTCCTTTTTCCGTAGGATTATTATTATTAATATCGTATATATCTACCAAGAACTATTCTGCGTAAAAATAGAAATAATCACCATTTTGGTCCCTTAATTGTTTTTCAATTGTTAATGTTGTTCCTAATTTTCAATTTCAATGAATTTGATTCTCGAATTATTTAAAAATTTTATCAATTAAACCTTTTCAAGACCAAAATGATGACTTTCATATTTTTAAAATTTTGTCAGTTTGATAATTGAAAGGGTTTAATTAACAAAACTTTAAACAATTCTAGGATCAAATTGGTTGAAATTGAAAATCATGGACTACATTTACAGTTGAAAAACAATTGAGGGACCAAAATAATGATTTTCCAAAAAAAATAAATAATATAATCCGTAATAATTTTTGTGCACTTGACGAGACTAATTTCATTATTCAATCTAAATTGTCTAAATATTTTCATAGGATTTTTTTTTTCTTTTATCGGTGAATTAGGAAACACATAATATAATCATTACTTGAGATTATTCATTGGGTAAATCATGTTCAATTCTTATGTAATATCTAACAAACCATGAAAACTAATTTTTACTTTGATTAGATGACTATGAGAGTTGGACTTCTCTGCTTAAGATTGTTAGTTTATGATGTTGAGGCAAAAGAAGTTAATTAGCAAATACGGAGTATAAAAAAGTAGTCATATTCTTAGGTAAATACAAAATATTTGGTAAAATTATTTGATTTAAATAGGTTTTTTTTTCTTTTTTTTTTTTTGTTTTTTTTTTTAAAAAGAACTTTTAAAATAAAACCTGAAAGATAATATAATTGATTTAATATACAGTGAACATATTTTACAAAAAATATATTCGAATCAGTATTCGTACACCTACTCAATCTAGATAGAATATTTTTAACCATACTAATCCCTATAATTTTAAGCACGTAATAATTAAATACCATATCATAATCTCGAGTTAATTCCAGCAATGGTCTTCTGACTATATTGATTTTTCACAATTAGTCCTCGACTTTTAATTTGAACAATTTAGGTCCCTTGACTTTTGAATTCTTTCCAATATTGGTCCTTCCATCAGATGAAAGTTAAGTGGACGTTAAATGAAGGGGTAAAGTAGTCCTTTCACCTACTTAGTGTATAATTACTCATATTTCTCCCTTGTATACACGATATATACGAAGTTAATCTCAATCCAAGCCCTAGAATATTCCTCGTCGTTTCCCATTGTCGTCACTGTCGGAAAGGTCCACTGCTCCGAGTTGTTGCCTGTGAAGAGCTACTTGCACCGGAAATTCTAAGACTGAGTTTTCGTGTAGACAATGGGGAACAACGAGGAATATTCTAGGGCTTCGAGTCTTCGACTGAGATTATCTTCGTATATATCGTGTATACAAGGGAGAAATACGAGTATAATTATACACTAAGCAGGTAAAATTACTACTTTACCCCTTCATTTAACTTTCACTTAACCTTTATTTGACGGAAGGACCAACATTGAAAAGAATTCGAAAGTCAAGATACCTAAATTGTCCAAATTAAAAATTAAGAACTAATTGTGAAAAATCAATATAGTCGAAAGACTATCATACTGCGCATCTTATATCTTATCTTATACAATCTAAGTTATCCAAATATCGAAGCTATTTATGATAGAAATCTAAACAACCTAGTACCCAGGCTGTCCTATTACATTTATGCATTTAAACCATTAAAACAACACCAGATTTTATGAAAAAATTAAAATAATTAAAGAAGATTGAAGAAGTGTCGGATCAGAAACGAAGATACTATAAAGAAATCGTCACAAATTAATTATGAATCTATTAAAACAAACGATTTGAAAAGATTACGAAATATTTGTGACGATTCAGTAGATCTTGAATCGTTGCGTTCGTAGCAGAATTATTGTCTTTAAATATCACCCATTTTCCGCTCTGAATTCGTCATTATAACTGAATCTTTGGTTTAGGGTTGATGTGGGAAACTGCAAAAAAAATAAAATAAAACTCCTGTTTTCGTGGAGATTAAGGAAAAAAAAAATCTATCCTTCATCAATGGTGACGGTCGGAGAAGAAGCAGTCGTCATGCATGTGCTGGTCGTTGACGACAGTGTCGTTGACCGTATGGTCGTTGAGAAATTGTTCAAGTCCTCTTCTTGCAAAGGTATTTCATTCAATTCAATTCATTTTTTCTGGGTCACACGAAGAAACTCGCGGTCGGCTATTTAAAAGTGTAGATCAGAATATCAGATAAATTATGAGAGTTTTTGTGAGAACTCAAAAGTGTACATAAGATAAATTAAGAGATCAAAGTTTTGGCGATAATTAAATTTGTGACATTTTGATACAAGAATGGTGTTCTACTCACTCGATTACTCATTTTGATCCCTTTTAATTCATTAAAATACTTAATTTTCAATATTTGAGTGAAAATATTTTTTGGGTTCAGTAACAACGGCAGGAAATGGAGTGAGAGCTTTGGAGTACCTGGGGTTATTAGCAGGGGATGTCCAACACAACTCTCCAAACACCAACGTTAGTACTAATTAAATTTCATTCCATATACGCACAAACAACCTTAATTACTTCGAATATTTATATTTCGAATAATATTATATTATCTTTCTGCAGGTACCAAAGGTGGATTTGATAATAACAGATTACTCCATGCCTGAAATGAATGGCTATGAGCTTCTTAAGAAAGTCAAGGTCAGAATCTTTTTAATTACGAATTTGAATATCATTGAAATTATATATGGGATAGAGTAAGTCCTATTTAAGAACATAACTCTCATGTGGGCGTATAATACTTTCTGCTTATATATACCATCCAGACATAACACAAAGGTACAAGAATGTGGTTTGATATGTCATGTTATAATCTAAATTGTTGAGTATGTCTTATATAAGGGATATGAGGGCAATGGATTGGGTCATCAGCCCATAGTACATACATGGATATTTTTATACTTGTACATGTTTAGAGCTGCATATAAATATGATGTTTGTAATCCTAGATGTTGTATCATTACCATTGCAATTAATAAAATAATAGTTTCACTCTCGTGAATGTAAACACATTCGTAAATGTAAACACATTGCTAACCATGTAAGTCTTGTCATTTTTTTTATTTTTTATTTTACTTTCTCTCATTATTATTGTCCTTGTTCTTGTTAATCCCAACATTAATTAATATGTTGGTATTGGATTTTGCAGGACTCAGCCATGTTTAAGGATGTTCCAGTTGTGGTGATGTCATCCGAAAACATTCCAAGTCAGATAAACCAGTAAGAACAATACAACCTTAAATTCTGCTAACTACAGTAATTAATTATTGTTTAATTATTTGATAAATGAATAAAAATTGATTGACAGATTCATGGAGGCAGGAGCTAAGATGTTCATCCTGAAGCCTTTCAAGCTAGCTGATGTGAACCAACTCAAATCTCAGTTAATGCAATCCTGAAGATAGAATGAAGATTATCAATATGATGAAGAAGATCAGAAGCTTTAGTATTGTTAGATCGAGATTTGATTCAAAAATAATAATAATTTAATTTATATCATGGATGCAGAATATGCATTATTATTTTTCTATTACAATGAAATTTATAGATGAAGACAAATTATATAATTATAGATGAAGACAAATTACAATGAAATTTTCTATTAATCCGATTCTTTATGGAAATCCCTAACAACCATTTTTAATTATTTGAAGAGCTCTAATATGCTAACCACAAAGTTTTATTTTTAATTATTCAGAAGAATTGAAGAATGACATGCATTTTTTAGTTATTTCAAAAGTTTAGTTAATTATTTTTTACTGTAATAGTGTAATTGAATTTGCCAAATACATGTATATATCAGACAATAGATGAATGGTTCAATTTTTATTTATTTATTTTAAATATAAATTTAGAGCAAGTCACACCTCAAAGTTCGCAAAGAGTTTCATATCATGCATTGAGAAAAGGTCACAAAAAAAAATGGAGAATAGAAATCATAAGAGACTAAAAGAGATTGCCTCTTACTTTTAAAAGAGATCTTCATCTACAATTTTAGAAGATATTTCAATACCTCAAATCAGCACCTGATAAATGAATCGAATCGAACTAAATATCTTATTATTTGATTCGAATTATTTTAAGAACTATTTTTATTCGTATCCCCGATAAATATTCGAATCTAAAATTTTATTCGTTTGACTACATTATTCGAATATTTGAATTCAAAATGACTAACTTAATTTTTTTTTATAAAATTTTCTATTAGTACTATTATACTAATATTCTATTAATATACTAATTTTCTTCGCTAGAGTTGCTGAGTGCTACCTTGCCGTCCGCCACCGCCAGAAGCTCAAAAAGAAAACAAATCGAAGAGGACGTCACCGTCGTCGTGCTGATGCCACCGCTACTGTACGTACGTGAAGTCCACCGTCATTGTCGTCATCGCAAATCTAGAGTAGAGTGGCAAGAAGAAGCTTTAACTATGGAGTTGCTAGTAACGACTGCAGGGGAAGAAGAAGCTTTAGCTATGACTTTAGAGTTTAGAGTTCTGCATGATGGAAGAAGACGGTTGACGAGAGCTGAGCCGCTGAGGCAGTGAGGCGTTTAGAGTTCTGATCTTCTGGACTTAGGTGATGACTGATTATATCTTTAGTTTTTGTTTTTATTATATATATATATATATATATATATATATATATATATATGAATTTTATTCGAATCAAATATATTCTGATTCAAATTTGAATTCGAATCGAAATATGTATTCGAATAATTCGAATTCAAATCAAAATATTCAAACTCTAATCACGAATCGAATTAAAAATATTTGATTACACTTGATATGCCTCAAACCCAAAGTTTACTATTTGGGGATTATAATAAAAAGTGTAATACTTTTATAGAAAAATATAATATTTTTAAATTAAAATGTAAAAGTATTACATTTTTTCTCAAAAGTATTGAACTTTCCTTCATAAATAACAAACACTTTATTTCTGATTAGTATTACATTTTGTAGTATAAGTATTACATTTTCATCTTGACTCGATCCATTTATGAACAAAGATCCATGAAATGGTCATACACAAGTTTTTGTCTTTCAACAAATAGTCAATAACCACCATTTTTAATCAACAAGCAATTCAATAAAATCTAACCAACTTAAAAATGATATTTTATCCCGTAACACTAAAATATAATATTATTTAAATTCTTGATAGTGATATCTAGAACTTTAAATAATACCACCAGCTATATAAATTTCCAATAATTGCCAATTATGATTTGAAGTATGGTTCTCTTCATCACATATTCACATGTATCAAAAAAGATGGATTATCCTTTTTCCCCTTATCGTCATTAGCTTCACGTTCCCACTCAAGGAAGAGAACGAGATTAATTAAAAAGCATCATTAATAAGTAATAACAGACTGTCCATGATGTTTTCCAAGAGATTAAGACAATTGCAAGTACATTACGTTGTTTGTCTGATCTGCAAACTCAAAACAGATTTCCATCGTCTGATGACGACGTAAAACAAAATTTAAGGTGTGTTTGGTTCATGAGTTTATACAACATGAATAATGAGAATTAAAAATCATAGTTAGTGTTTGGTTGATAACTTTTTAAAACACAATTATGAGATTTGATTACATTTTCAATTAAAACCCTCATCCCCTAATTAAAAAAAATATCATTACATCTTATTACCTGATTTTTAAGTTTGAATTAGTACTTTTAGATTTTTGTTTTGATTTTTTTTATTGATATTAGTGCTTTTATTCAAGTATTTGATTCTCATTCCGATTCCGATTCCTATGTGCGAACCAAACACACCCTTAATATAAGCCTCCTCTTTAATTAATCCACTCGGATCTTCTTTAATTTCAATTCATTCATTCTCTCTCTCTCTTCTGCATTCTTCTCTGACTTCATTATAATCACAACTTAATATATATATATCCAATTATATTAAAGTACAGTTTTTGTTGAAATTAAGGAAAAGAAAATAATGGCTTGCCCTTCATCATCAATGGCAATGGGGGAAAATGGGGAAGATGAAGTCATCCATGTGCTGGCTGTTGATGACGATCCAATTAACCTTATCATCATTGAGAAATTGCTCAAGTCCTCTTCTTGCAAAGGTTTGTGCATGACTAAGCTAAGCTAGTTTTACTTGTTTTGGTCATTGAATTTTCGATTTTTAGAAATATAGTCATTTGTTGTGTTATTGAGTCATTCTAATTATATGTTGTGTTTTCGATTCTTGATATCGTAACTTTAATGATTTGTGGTAATGTCTCTCATTACCTCTATCGACCATTTCATAAATTAAGCTTTGTATTGAGATCACAACTAAAATTTTCAACAATCTGAAAGTAAATGAAAATTTTCAAACTTTTCAAAATTTCCACCCACCGTTGGGGGTGGCGTTTAGAAATTCTAAACATATATTACATTAACCAAAATTTTCTAACAATATTTATTGATAGTCAGTGTTTTTGACCACTTTGGAATGATAGTAAAAAATGGTGACAAAACATTTTTTCAAGTCCTCAAATGAGTAGAAAAGTTAGTTGGAACTTGACTTCTAAGTTCTAACCACAAACCTGGTTTAATAATTTTAATCACTTTCTTGTGGTCAGAAATTCCAACTTTTTCAACACTAACTACATTAAGGAACAATTGACAAAGAAACATGAGGACAAAAGTATTAAAAATGTTGAGTAGAGCATAATTATCGTACTTAAAAATTATAAGTTTGGTTGTGGTCAATACCTTCTTAATTGAACCCATTACACATAATTTTTCTAGTGCAATTTACTTCTTATGTATAACTTTTATGCTACGGAGTATTACATAAGAGCAAAGTTTACCTAATACATACCTTCAAGTACTAGTCACTAGTTTGGACGTTAAAACAGAAATACAAATACTCCGTTTTTTGTTAGATTCACTGTTGTGTGGCATAGTGGGTTACTTTTTTTTTTGAATGCGCATAGTGGGTTACTTAATTACCCTCTTCATTTTAATTTTTTTTTACCGGAAAAAATAGCTTGAAATGGTATATTAAGTAGCTATTTTGTGATGCAATTATTAGTGATTTGAGGTTTACTTCTAATTTGAGTCGGGTCAAAATAGATTCGAGTTTTTTGTAGTGAGACGAAGAGATTGATATATTGTCCGCTCAAAAGGGATAATGGACGAATGAGAAATTGATTCTCAAAATATATTCATTTGAGTTCAAAAAGTTTTAAAGAAGTTTTTGTTCCACATTGATTTGGAAAGTGGGTTTGCACCACTATTTATACAAGAGCCTTTCTAAGGCTTATTGAATTGTATAGCATAGATGCTCTCTCTCCCAAAATGAATTTGAAAATGCTTAACTAGTGTACATTAGCACCTAAATTTTTACAACTTGATTTCCTACGTTTTCTAGCTCTCAAAATCTCTGCTCCTACTCCTTTCTTAGCCTACTACGTTCATCCCACGCTCTTGTTGTTGGGTTCTAAGTTTGAGTGCTCATAACTTAGAACCATAGTGCGTTTTATCCTGGGAAACCTAGGCCGTAACGCTCCTAGCACTCCTTTTTTAGCCTACTACGTTCATCCCACGCTCTTGTTGTTGGGTTCAAAGTTTGAGTGCTCATAACTTAGAACCGTAGTGCGTTTTATCCTGGGAAACCTAGGCCGTAACGCTTCTAGCACCTTTGCGAGACGACAAATAAAGTTTTAAGGAAAGAGTGATTCGCTCGACTCGTGCTAATCACCTACCCACCATATCCATTCGTCCCTCCATGTTTTTTTCAAAAATAATAATAGTCCTTTTTCCGTAGGATTATTATTATTAATATCGTATATATCTACCAACAACTATTTCTGCGTAAAAATAGAAATAATCACCATTTTAGTCCCTTAATTGTTTTTCAATTGTTAATGTTGTTCCTAATTTTCAATTTCAACCAATTTAATTCTTGAATTATTTAAAATTTTTATCAATTAAACCTTTTCAAGACCAAAATGATGATTTTCACATTTTTAAAATTTTATCAGTTTGATAATTGAAAGGGTTTAATTAACAAAATTTTAAACAATTCTAGTATCAAATTGGTTGAAATTGAAAATCATGAACTACATTTACAGTTGAAAAATAATTTAGGGACCAAAATTAAATAATGATTTCCCCAAAAATTGGCAAAAAATAAATAATATAATCCGTAATAATTTTTGTGCACTTGACGAGACAAATTTCATTATTCAATCTAAATTGTCTAAATATTTTCATAGGATTTTTTTTTTTCTTTTATCAATGAATTAGGAAACACATAATATAATCATTACTTGAGATTATTCATTGGGTAAATCATGTTCAATTCTTATGTAATATCTAACAAACCATGAAAACTAATTTTTACTTTGATTAGATGACTATGAGAGTTGGACTTCTCTGGTTGAGATTGTTAGTTTATGATGTTGAGGTAAAAGACGTTAATTAGCAAATATAAAAAAGTAGTCATATTCTTAGGTACCAAGACTATGTGGTCTAATGGTACCCGGGTTGGACTTCTATTTGAAAGATTGTCAGTTCGAGCCTTAGTGGATGCGTTATCGTTATTGGCTCTTTGTATGAATAGATACTACAATGTAATAGAGTCAGCATTCAAAAAAGGTATATTTGATTTAAATAGTTTTTTTTTTTAATTTTAAAATAAAACCTAAAAGATAATATAATTTTATCCACACCCCGACAGAGCATTTGAGAGGATGTAAATCATGGTAACTCAACTGAACATGAAACACAGAGGCTAGACCGGTGCTTACTGCGCACAAGGAACCCCACTCACTTTGAGAGGTTGCTCCCACACTGCCGTAGGTCATTCTTCCAAAGTTTCACCTCTATGACCAGTTGAGCTGCCTATACGGGTCTGAAAGATAATATAATTGATTTAATATACACTGAACGTATTTTACAAAAAATATATTCGAATCAGTATTCGTACACCTACTCAATCTAGATAGAATATTTTTAACCTTACTAATACCTATAATTTTAAGCAAGTAATAATTAAATACCATATCATAATCTCGAGTTAATTCTATTATTAATGATCCTCCGACTATATTAATTTTTCACAATTAGTCTTCGATTTTTAATTTGGACAATTTAGGTCCCTTGACTTTCGAATTCTTTCCAATATTGGTCCTTCCATCAGATGAAAGTTAAGTGGACGTTAAATGAAGGGGTAAAGTAGTCATTTCACCTACTTAGTGTATAATTACTCATATTTCTCCTTTGTATACACGATATATACGAAGTTAATCTCAGTCGAAGCTCTAAAATATTCCTCGTCGTTCCCCATTGTCGTCACTGCCGAAAAGGTCCACTGCTCTGAGTTGCTTGCACCGGCACCGGAAATTCTAGGACTGAGATTTCGTGTAGACAATAGGGAACAACGGGACTGAGATTTCGTGTAGACAATAGGGAACAACGAGGAATATTCTAGGACTTCGACTGAGATTAATATCTTCATATATATCGCGTATACAAGGGAATATGATATGGTACTTAAGCCAAGACCCTAACTCCACCACAAAAGCTAGCTCATGAGTGGAGGTTTAGCCTCAACTTAAGTACCACTCCACAATCTCTTGTGGAGCCGATGTGGGATCGTATCATTGCCCACCCCTTGAGAAGCCGACGTTTGCGGCGGCTTACTCTACACGGCTCACACTCCGGACTCTTCTCGGCACCAGGTAGTCCTTTTCCCCTTTGGATGGCTTCACTCCGGACCTTATCAAGCACCAGGTAGCCCTTTTCTAGGTCGCCCCCTCCGCTAGGCCGGCATTGGATGGGTTGACGGCTTCACTGATAGCTTTCACTCCGGACTCTTCTCGGTTCCCTTTGAACCTTATCAAGCACCGGGTAGCCCTTTCCCACCACACTCCGGCCTCTCAACAAGAGCACCAAATGATACGGTACTCAAGCCAAGACCCTAACTCCACCACAAAAGCTAGCTCATGAGTGGAAGTTTAGCCCCAACTTAAGTACCACTCCACAATCTCTTGTGGAGCCGATGTGAGATCGTATCAGAATACGTGTAATTATACACTAAGCAGGTGAAATAACTAATTTACCCCTTCATTTAACATTCACTTAACCTTTATTTGACGAAAGGACCAACATTAGAAAGAATTCAAAAGTCAAGAGACCTAAATTGTCCAAATTAAAAATTAAAGATTAATTATAAAAAATCAATATAATCGGAGGACTATTGCTTGAATTAACTCTTATAATCTCACTCTATCCCTATCTCATATTGCGCGCATCTTATATCTTATCTTATACAATCTAAGTTATCCAAATATCGAAGCTATTTAGGATAAAAATCTAAACAACCTAGTACCCAGGCTGTCCTATTACATTTATGCATTTAAACCATTAAAACAACACCAGATTTTATGAAAAAATTAAAATAATTAAATAAGATTGAAGAAGTGTCGGATCAGAAACGAAGATACTATAGAGAAATCGTCACAAATTAATTATGAATCTATTAAAACAAACGATTTGAAAAGATTACGAAATATTTGTGACGATTCAGTAGATCTTGAATCGTTGCGTTCGTAGCAGAATTCTTGTCTTTAAATATCACCCATTTTCTGCTCTGAATTCGTCATTATAACTGAATCTTTGGTTTAGGGTTTATGTGCGAAACTGCAAAAAATAAAAAAAATAAATAAATAAAAATAAAACTCCTGTTTTCGTGGAGATTAAGGGAAAAAAAAAAATCTATCCTTCATCCATGGTGACGGTCGGAGAAGATGCAGTCGTCATGCATGTGCTGGTCGTTGACGACAGTGTCGTTGACCGTACCGTCGTTGAGAAATTGTTCAAGTCCTCTTCTTGCAAAGGTATTTCTTTCAATTCAATTCATTTTTTTCTGGGTCACGACGAAATTCACAATCGGCTATTTAAAAGTGTACATCAAATAAATTAAGAGAGTTTTTGTGATAACTCAAAAGTGTATATCAGATAAATTAAGAGATCAGAGTTTTGGCGATAATTAAATTTGTGACATTTTGATACAAGAATGGTGTTCTACTCACTCGATTACTCATTTCGAGCCCTTTTAATTCATTAAAATACTTAATTTTCAATATTTGAGTGAAAATATTTTTTGGGTTCAGTAACAACGGCAGAAAATGGAGTGAGAGCTTTGGAGTACCTGGGGTTATTAGCAGGAGATGTCCAACACAACTCTCCAAACACCAACGTTAGTACTAAATTTCATTCCATATATACGCACAAACCTTAATTACTTCGAATATTTATATTTTGAATAATATTATATTATTTTTTTCAGGTCCCAAAGGTGAATTTGATAATTACAGATTACTCCATGCCTGGGATGAATGGCTATGAGCTTCTTAAGAAAGTCAAGGTCAGAATCTTTTAACTACGTGTTTGAATATCACTGAAATTATATATGATAGAGTAAGTCCTATGTAAGATCGGAGCATCGTCTCATGTGACATGTATGACGTATAATACTTTCTAGTTATATATAGTCGTATTTGAAAGGTGATTGTTCTTCTTATCCTCTCAATCCCAAAAAACCATTCAGACATGACACAAACCTACAAGAATGTAGTTTGGTATTTCATGTTATAATCTTAATTGTATGTCTCATATAAGGGAAGTGATATGAGCGTAGCGGATTGGGTCAGCCTATAGTTCATGGTCTTTTTTTTTTTTTTTTTTTGTATACTTGAACATGTTTTGCGCTACATATAAATATGATGTTTGTAACCTTAGATGTTTAATCATTATCATTATAATTAATAAAATAATAGTTCCACTGTTGTGAACGTAGACACATTATATTGCTAAACTACATAAATTTGGCTTTCTTTATTCTCTGTCATTATTATTGTTCTTGTTCTTGTTAACCTCATCATTAATTACTAATATGTTGGTGTTGGATTTTGTAGGACTCAGCCATGTTTAAGGATGTTCCAGTGGTGGTAATGTCATCCGAAAACATTCCAAGTCGGATAAACCAGTAAGAATAATTTACCATCCAGTTCCTTAATTAATCAGACAACTAATTAACCTTAAATTCTGCTAACAGTAATTAATTATTGTTTAATTATTTGATAAATGAATAAAAATTGATTGACAGATGCATGGAGGTAGGAGCTAAGATGTTCATCCTGAAGCCTCTCAAGCAAGCTGATGTGAACGAACTCAAATCTCAGTTAATGCATAAAAGATTATCAATGTGATGAAGACCGATCAGAAGCTTTAGTATAGTTAGATCCAGATTTGATTCCCAAAAAAAAAAATTAATTAATTTAATATGTATCAAGGATAGCAAGTTAATTTTTCTATTACTATGAAAATTATGGATGAAGACTTATAACATCTTTAGTTATTACACACACACATATATATGATCTACGGGGACCTTTGGAAAATTTAATAAAACCCATTTTTTTTTATGAAGATTCTTAACAACCAATCACTTAAAGAGCTTTTATCAAAAAATCATTTAAAGTGCTCAAATATGCAAACCACAATTTTTTATTTTTTATTTTATTGAGAAGAACTGAAGAATGACAACGAGTAAATTTATGTTTTAATTATTTCATGGTTACTCTAGACAATAGATAATGGTTCAATTTTTATTTATTTTTATTTATTTTTAAATATAAATATAGAGCAAGTCACACGTCAAAGTTAGCAAAGAGTTTGGTCTCATATAATGCCTTTAGAAAAAATGTCCGAAAAATGGAGAATAGAGATCATAAGAGACTAACGGGGTCTGGTTCGTAATTTCACGGAGTTGAAATTTTCTTACGGAATAGAGATCAATTCCCTTGTGATGTCTCTTGTGATTATAACGGCTCTGTTTGGCAACGCTAAGCTAGGAGTTTATAGCTTATTTTAAGCTACTAACAAGCTATAAGTTCTGTTTGGTAATGTTCCCAAAATAAGTTCCTAGCTTAAAATAAGAGCTTATTTTGGAACGCTACTTTAGGTAGCTTTTCAAAATAAGTTACTAGCTTCCTAACTTTTTTTTCCATCTTTACCCTTATTATTTTAAAGTAATGACATATTTTAACCTTATGAATTAAAACCCTTTCTCTTCCCTTATCCCAACTTTCACATCAATCCCTTCCTTAATCTTGTTTCCTGCTAAACAATTATGTTGAATTAAAACCCCTCCTCCTCCCCCTCCCCCTCCCCCCCTGATTATTATTATTATTATTATTATTATTATTATTATTATTATTATTATTATTATTATTATTATTATTATCTACACCTATTTTCTTCTTCTTCTTCTTCTTCTTCTTGGGTAAGGGCGATAAGGTCGAAATGTGCCTCTGGTCTCCACATTTTTCTGCAATCTCTGATGAAGATAGGTGTAGCTAACAGTTCTGCCCAGAATCTTGAAGATCGCAGACCCTTTTCGTTTTCTTAGTGCTTCTCTCCAGTAAATCTTGATCCTCCGGCGACCGATCGGTCGCCGCCGATGAGGACAACTCGGTGAGGGAATCCGATACAGTTTCCATCCTCCATACAATATAGTTTCGAGCTTCCTTTGACCGTTAGAAATGGACCTAGTTTTTACACCTTAGTCCCAACGTTTCTACCCTTTTCAAAATCTAAACAAGATTTGTGGCATTGGAACAACTAGCATTATTGTAATCCAAATCGTGTTGATGAGAAGCTGTCTGATCAGATTTTTGGACGCATTCAGAACCCGACACAGGGTTCCCCATAATCATAATGGGTGATCAATTTAAGTGGGAGAATTGTAGTAAAAGATAAAACCCATATATATATATATATATATATATATATATATATATATATATATATATATATATATATATATATATATATATAAAGGGAAAATAGCGAGTTTGATCTTTGAGTTATAACCATAGTGACGACTCATTTCCTATGTTATTATTGATAACAAGCATTGAAGAAGAAGAATTGTACATGTTTTTGATGATCTTACAATGAAAGATGATACAGGAATTTATAGGTGAATACATTTGGTTATTAAAGGAAATAGAATAAATTTTAAGGCTGTAAATCAGCTGTAATATCTCATCTATTATTTACTATGATATGATGAATCAGCTGATCCCTGTAATTGCTCATATGATTATTCTTTTTCCTTTTTAACACTCCCCCTCAAGTTGAGTAGTGGGATTTCCGATACTTAACTTGACCAGACAGTTGCTGAAAATCCTGCCATTAACTGGTTTTGTTAATATATCTGCTAATTGGTCTTCAGATCGAACAAATGGTAACTCTATTATCCCTGCTTCCAGCTTCTCTTTGATGAAGTGTCTATCAACCTCTACATGCTTTGTACGATCATGTTGTACTGGGTTTTCTGAGATTTGGATTGCTGCCTCATTATCACACATGATCTTGATAGTTTCGGTTGGGGGAAAACCGATCTCAGTTAGAAGTTTCCGTATCCATAATATTTCTGCTAAGCCTCGTGCCACCCCACGAAACTCAGCTTCTGCACTAGATAGAGCAACCACTTTTTGTTTTTTTGCTTCTCCACGTAACCAGATTTCCACCCACCAGGGTAAAATATCCTGATGTTGATCTTCGATCTCCTTTATCTCCTGCCCAGTCTGCATCCGTATACCCTAGGATTTTCATATGCCCGTTTGGTTTAAAGAGAACTCCATGGCCAACTGTTCCCTTGAGATATCTAATAATCCTCCACACTGCTTCCATGTGTGTTACTTGGGGTTGATGCATGAATTGACTAACAACACCTACTGCGTATGCTATGTCTGGGCGAGTATGTGAGAGATAAATTAGTTTTCCCACTAGCCGTTGATATCTTTCTTTGTTTGCTAACTCGGCTCCTTCTACCATTTGAAGCCTATGATTCACCATCATTGGGGTATCCGCAGGTTTGCAATCAATCATTCCTGTTTCGGCTAATAGATCTAGAACATATTTTTTCTGACAAACAAAGATCCCTTGTTTAGATCTTAGTACTTCTATTCCAAGAAAGTACTTAAGTCTTCCCAAGTCCTTCATCTCGAATTCTGTAAACAAATTCTTCTTTAGTTCTGTCATTTCCTCCTTATCGTTTCCTGTAATGATCATGTCATCAACATATATAATCAGACATGTTACAAGACTACCTCTTCGTTTGAGGAACAGAGTATGATCCAAGTTTCTCTGTTTAAATCCATATCTTTTCATTGCTAGAGTAAATCTGCCAAACCAAGCTCGAGGAGACTGTTTTAGCCCATAGAGAGATTTCTTTAACAGGCAAACTTCACCTGTCTTGAAGTCTCCCGCGAATCTGGGAGGTGCTTCCATATATACTTCTTCTTTTAATTCTCCATGCAGGAAAGCGTTCTTTACATCAAACTGATAAAGTGGCCATCCTTCATTTGCAGCTATCGAGAAAAGAACCCGGATCGTGTCAATCTTGGCTACTGGAGAGAAAGTCTCTGAGTAGTCAATCCCATATGTTTGAGTGTAACCTTTAGCTACTAACCGAGCCTTATACCTTTCAATAGTCCCATCTGGATTATGTTTGATTGTAAAAACCCAGCGACATCCCACCGGTTTTTTTCTTAACGGAAGTGCACACTTCTCCCATGTGTCATTTTTCATCAATGCCTCCATCTCCGTTTCCATTGCATCTTTCCAGTTCTTTGATTCCAAGGCTTGTTTCACAGTAGCTGGAGTTTCTTCAGAATATAGTGATGAAACAAAAGCCCTAGCTTCTTCAGACAGGTTTCCTTCGGATATGTTGGTCACTGGATACTTTGATCCTCGAGTCACTTTTTCTGGAGAGTACCGTTTAGGTGGAATTCCTCTGTTTGCCCTAGGAGGTAACACATATCTTTCTGGTGTTTCTTCTTGTGGTAGTTCACCCTGCTCTACCATTTCCTCCCGGACTGGTTCAACCTGTTCTGTTGTTTTCTCACCAAGGTCAAAAGAAATAGATGGACTTCCAGAAGATTGAATATGTTCCGGGGAGTGAGAAGTAGAAGAGTGAGTATCAGAAGAGTAAGTATTACTCACCTCAGGCATCAGGTTGGGAGGAGCATTTTCAGTGGCATTAACGATTAGTTCCGCAGATTGTGTGGGAGTATCAAGTGACTCATCTTTGGTACTATGATTAATCTCCTCTGATGATGAAACATATTTCAACCAACTTAGTGTGTCTAAGCATCCCTTCTCCCCCTGACCACTGTGTTGGGAATTGTAGTAATACTCAGTTTCAAGAAAGTCACAGTTCATGGTGGTGAACATTTGACGTGTCTTTGGATTATAACACCTGTAACCTTTTTGGTTTACTCCATAACCAATGAATACACACTTCTCACCACAAGGGTCAAGTTTGGTTCGATTTGTTTTGGGTATATGGACAAAAACAGAACAACCAAAGATTCGTGGTTGAAGAGTAAGAGCAGGGGGTACTTTGGTAAATCCTGATAGAGTTTGTAATGGAGTTTTTAGTTTGAGGATGTTGGTCGGGAGTCGATTGATAAGGTAAGTGGCTGTGGCGATAGCTTCAGGACAAAAAGATTTAGGAACTCGTGACTCAATCAGAAGAGCCCGAGTTATTTCTAACAGAATACGATTTTTTCGTTCAACTACACCATTCTGTTCTAGAGTATGTGGGCAAGTAGTTTGATGAATTATCCCCTTGTTTTGAAAAAATTGTTGCATATGGGTGTTAACAAATTCCCCTCCATTATCAGATCGAAAAATCTGAATATTCTTTTGGAACTGGGTTTGAATCATGGCATAGAACATGGTGAATTTATCAAAAAACTTCTGACTTGTGTTTCAGGAAGTAAACCCAGGTCATTCGAGTACAATCATCCACAAATATTAAGAAAAAACGAAAGTTTTGTCCCCCAATAATCGGAGCCGGACCCCAAACATCAGAATGGATCAATGAAAAAGGTAAATCAACCCTTGTGTTATTTGGTTTAAAGGTTTGTCTATGGCTTTTAGCTAACACACACGTCTCACATTTTGACATATTATTGGAGGGAAATAATTTTGGGAACAAAATATGTAAATACCCATTAGATGGATGTCCAAGTCTCCTATGCCATAACCAGGCTTCATGATCTATGGTTCCATGAGCCAGCATCACAGTACCGCGTTGAGTCACTTCGTCCACGTAGTACAACCCTTGGCGTTCAGTGCCACGCCCAATGATCACTCCCGTCCTGATATCCTGTAAGATACAAAAAGTAGGATGCATTAAAACCGTGCAGTTGAGCTCCTTTGTCACATGACTGATTGATAACAATTTATGTGATAACGAGGGAACATAAAGACAGTTGGAAAGTTTCATGGTTGGTGAAATTTCAATAGTTCCTCCCCCTTCAACATGCATTATTTCTCCATTAGCC